TTCGGCAATCAGAGGCGACTACTTTTTTGGGCAAATGCCAGAGGCGCTCAATAGTCATTGGGGGCATGGTTCTGCGTTGGAGGGGGGGGGAGGGGAGTGAGCCAATTACTGGTGTTTGGAACCGAGCCTTAGGGAGGAGAAGGGATTCTGGGGTAATTTGTGTTCTCTCTGGCGTTCCTCCCTCTGCTGGGAGTTCGTTTCGAATGTTTCTCCTTGAGACATGAACGCCTCGATCAGCAGAACATATACAGTTGACATTAAATACCTCAACAAAAACACCCAAATTTATTGACTCTTGTTTGCTTGCCTGGTAGTAGTGGTATATAACCTTTGAAGATCCCCCTCCTGCAATCCTTGCGCCTGAAATGCTCCTCTATCGGATACTCGCTGCTTCAAATCTCCGCGAGCGGAGGAAGATTTTCAAACAGCAGAACCATGCGGAGTTTATTCCGCAATCTGCACGGTTTGACGTGTTGAATTCTACCCGAAGAACCCGCGAAGCCTTGTCCCGTCCAGATCGCCGCGCGTGCCGCCGCGCAACTCGCCGCGTGCCAGTCCGGACGAGCCAAAAGTCCCGCACGTGCCTTGAGCCCGATTCAGCTCCAAACACGATCTGACACCGTTATGTTCAAGTCGACTTACTATGGATTCTACGATTGACCATCCATCACATTTGCCGAAGATGAGGAGTGGGTACAGTGTGCTAACAAATGAACAAGCGGCGGTAGTCCAGCTCAAACGCTTCGGGAGTTCTTACTGCTAAGTTCAACCTCGTCCAAGTAGGGCCTTCTCGGATTTTTTGAGTTGAGCTCTGGAAACCCCTATGTGTAGATGTCGCAGTCAACGCGAAAGTCATCCATCCACAGCTAGATCGCAACGCTTTAACACCTTGGAGCCCATGCAGCCCATATGTGGGCTGCAGTCCTCGACCGCGTAGGACCTTTCAGCCCACATTTCGGAAACAAATATTAAGTTTTTCTTTGTTTTCTTTCCATTTCATTCGATAAGGTTTCTTCTGCATCATACAGTAGGTTTTTCTTTCCAATTTGCTTGATAAGTTCCTAAAAATTTCACTGAAGTCCCACGCGGCCGCAAAACGTAAAACATGCGCGGTCTCCAATGTTTTAACACGAAAGAAAAGCAAAACAAAGTTTGCTTTTTTATGACACCGTTGAACCACCTCTTGCTAAGAAAATCCAGGAAAATTTTGGGACTCTCGGACGGAGAGTTCTTCCGTATCCACCTTATAGCCCTGACCTCGTGCCAAAGGATGCCCACCTGCTTCCCTCTCCAGACCACCTCCTAGAGAAGAAATCTCATCCTAACCATCATGATGTCAAAATCGACATCTGATCTTTCTTCGATCAGAATTCAGTGGAGTTCTACAAGAGAGGCATCGAACAGCTTCTAGTGCGTTGGCAATAGGTTGTAGATATTGATGGTGTATTATGCTGGATGAAGTGGAACAAAAAGATAATAAAAATATTAAAATCAAATCAATCAAAATAGTCACTTTGTTGCATGACCTATGGACCAACCTAATAGAATGCTCTGGAATCACCATCGTCGCAACTTGACGTCAGCACAGCCGTGTTACAGCTGTACACCTCTCTCGCGAATTTCTTTATCCCAGTTGTCAGATTTTTGCGTAAGTTTACCCTAATTTCCGGTAGACAACCCAGCTCCGATACTTTTTAGCGGTAACGCCATTTGATGCCAGTTGGCATTACCTTGTCACGACCCTTGTTTTCACCAAAATCGGTGTAAACTTCTGTATAGGGGTTATTTGGTGCCCTGATTACGAATATGACATTCGTTTTTGGCATTAACGTTGTTACGCATATTTCTCGGTTGGAGAGCGCAGACGAGCAGAAAATAGGCGCCAAATAGCGCCAGCGCCTAGAATGAATCATATTCGTAATCAGGACACCAAATAACCCTATACGGAAGTTTACACCAAATTTGGTGAAAACAGGGTCGTGACAAGGTGACGCCAACTGGCGCCAGATGGCGCCACCGCTAAAATGAAAGTCATTTTCGTAATCAGGGCATGGGCAAATGAATGGTAGTTTTTAAGGTGTACAAAATTACACTGCTAGCGGAGGTGTTTCTGCGTGATATCAGCGAGGGCATTTTCACCGGAAATTAGGGTATTTGATGACCATGTATGTTAAGGAGCAGTTCCACAGCGTCTATGTTCTAAGCTTTTTTCTCTCCTGCTTTACTTCCACGGCTTCGCAGTTCTCATTAGACATCATCACTTGGTCCTGTTCTAGGCATGGCTGTGGTCCAAGAATTCTATAAGCACTAGTCATTAATGAGACCGGCGTTATTGAGGCACCCAGCAGCACTTTCCATGTTTTCTCGTGAAGACTGCGAAGGTTCACACTTCCGCTAACCAGCCATGTAATTTCGGCGCGGACAGGCAGGTGTTATCTTCTGAGGATGACATCGGTCTACATGGTACATACTTGCTAAAGCAATTTTTAGTTCAAGGTGACTTGCAGGAAACCAAGCAGATACGTCCAGAACACACCACGCACACATGCATGGGCACGGCTAAGCGGCAACAACTATAATAGTATGAAGCGACACCGAATAAGACAGGTGGTTCTTCACCTGAACATTGCTTTGTCAAAAGAGAGTTGAACGGCCGCGTTTACGTGCCATCTGGAGCCCCTCACGCAGACTCGCATTTAACCCTTTAACGACAATGGCACCCACCGGTGGGTGCCACTATGTTCGTCGCGTGGGACAATGGCACCCAATGGTGGGTGCCACCTTAAAATTTCCTTCTTTGTGCATTTAAAACATTTGTAACACCCCAATAATTATAAGCAAGTTCCATAATATCTATGGCTAGCACGACTTACAGAAATGTTTACTAAGAGCTAATTTATATAGAATTTTAGAATGTGCCATTTAGCTCGCCACCATATTAATTGGGGTTTTAAATTATTAGGCCGAAGATTAATTACTAATCAGGACTTCTTCGTCTTCTCATAGCCCTCAGATATGGGAAGGGGTTTGAAGTGTATCGGAAATTCTCTTGGACACTTAAACTTTTAGAGGTTTTGCCCTCCTTCCCTTTGAAACGCGAGTTCCCCGTCCAAATTTGGAATTCTCTTGAAAATAATTTACAGTATGAAAGCCTAGAACTGCAGTTATAACTGGTATACTGTTAGAGTCGAAAATTCTACAGAAAAATTGCTTTGAAGGACAATTTTGCCTAATTGTGAGAGAGTTGGGCGCGCCAAAAACAGGCGTGGTCCCACGAGCAAGCTACGTGCAAATCCGCATTGTCGTCAAAGGGTTCATCGGTTCAGAGACCTATAAAACAGGAGGATAAAGGTGAGATCCATTCACAATGGATCCCTTCGCAACTTCTTATTTTTGTGCAATACACAGGCACAGTACATGCTGGGCTCTTTGGATCTATTTAAGACAAGTACAGAGAATTCCCTAAACTCTGCTCATATCATCTCATGAAACCGAACTGCTGCAGCGCATAAGCTTCACTCAACCTCGGAGGCTCCTAAAGTGGAGTATCCATCAAACGGTAGTTAGAGGTAGGAAACGTAATGAAAAAAAGGCTCCCAATTTCTTTTGCAGTGCTAGAATTGTTTTCGTTAAAAGGAAGCTCTGGGTAGAGCTAGAGATGTGCTCTAGTGGTTATCATTGATTTTCTCTTGACTGTTGTCAATTTTGACGTTTTCGACGCTATACCATTAGTTTCATCAGGGTGTCTTGAAAACTCGTACCGATTTCGAACTTCTTCTAAGCTTACTTTATTTCAACCTCAAGCTCATGATTATCAGTGACTTTGCCATTAAGCAGCCAAAGAGTGGATCTCTACTTCAGAAGAGAATCGGTTTACATGGTGGACCCAATTTATGGTAGCCAGAGTGAGCGCGGTCGGACCAACTATTTTCTGAATCTCCCCATTTCCCCATTTCCCGCCCATGGGAGGGTCATGGATAGGGAACCATTACCAAGCCTATTAGCATACGGAGGAAGCTGGATATGTGTGTTTGTATAAAAACAGGCTATTTCACAGAGAGAGCTCAGATAAGAGCAGAAGCAACGCAGCTTGCGCGCGAATTACGTATTTACGAGTTCTCTGTGAGTTGCGCTTCCGGTGTTCTTACGGGAATCCTTACATCGGGTCGTCCTCCTAGGTTGTAAGTGTACAATGGTATATTTGTATTACTTGAAGTGCTGCAAAAATGAAAAAAAAATTGCTTTGAAGTTCTTGCGCCACCATGTGGCGCACGCCAACCCTCAGACCCAATTATGCGTGCGCCGCCATATTACGTGTTAATATGGAAGGAAAACTAGACACATACTTTCTATGGCACAGTTGAACCAGTCATTGCTATGAAATTCCAGAAAATTTTGGGGCTTTCGGGTGGACAGTTCTTCTACATTCGCCTTATAGGCCTGACATCGTGCGAACGGATGCCCATCTGCTCAGCTTTCCCCCTTTTGGAGAAAAAAAAATCACATCTTAACCATCATGATGCCCAAAATCGTCATCTTATTTTTCTTTGTTCGGAACTCAATGAACTTCTGAAAGGAAGGCATCGGCAGCCGCTAATGCGTTGACAATATGTTGAAAAGTGTTGAAAAGTCAAATGTTGATGATGTGTATCGTGCTGAAAAATAAAACAAAGAAATAAAAAAAAAAATCAAAGGGCAGCCAGTTTGTTGCGGAAAATATGATCAATAAAATAATAAAAAAAAAAAAATAAATAAATAAGTAAAATATGATCCAATTTGGTAGTTTCCCCTTATGCTTTTCAAACTCCCGGTCCTTGCGGGTTATCCATTTCATCTTTGACAGTACTGGTCGGCTAGAAAGAGAGGGAGCTGAAGATTTGACGTGTAATGACCCGAAGGACCGGTCTCACAGTCAGTACTCTCCCATACTGCTCACTTTTTAGATGTGCTCTATGGCACTTCGTCGAGTCATTCAGAAGTATGGTCGTGATTTGCAGCACATGACCTGGGTAAAGTTAGTGGAGCTGTTTGAAACAGTTGTTGATCTTTGCGAACAGGTATTGTTCACATTCGACGGCTATTTCAAGCATACTGTTCGAGAGAACCATTGTAGAGATTGGAGTATGCGAAAAACGTGTGAGAATTCTCTGCATCAAATCCTTTTACTTATGGAGCAGCTGTACTCCGATGGACACTTCGCTGCTTCACCAGATCTACTATATGATCTTATTGAGAAATGTGCGGATAGGCGACCAGACACATCTGTTGTGAAATTAATCCAGTATAGAGCGATGGTAAGCCTTTTTGCCTCCTGTACTGTTTTTTTTTTTCTGGAAAACGGGAAGGTAGAAAGCTTGTGATCTCTCTGTAAAAAGTGAATACTTCGGAAATGTCTTCGGCTTTTCTACATGGATTGTGTTGGGGAAGCGGAAGCAGCTTCTCAATTCGGAAGGCGAAGAGGAGTAGAATGGTGTCGATGTACCGCTTGACAACAATGTAGACCATGAGAGTATTGACTAGGAATAGTATATTGGGTTGGAGCATAATATCGTAGCGCTTCCTTTTTTCATTTCTTCACGCTAACATTTGATACAAAAATTAAAAAATAAAGACGTAAAACTAATTGGTGATGTTCACTTTGTCATTATTTCCTACTTTGATTGCATTTCGCAGGAGATCACCGGATAGAATTTAAAAAATATTGAGCTTGTTTTCGGAGTCCTTATTATTCTCAATTGTACGAAATGAATACGGTTTTAATTTGAGCGAAAAAGGTATGGTCTATTAGAGCAAGGCTCGATTAGAACATTGTATTGAAAAGAGCTTCAATCTGGCGTTTCTTCCTCATTACGTAAACCAAAGAATAGCAGCTGTCGAAACGCCGATTTCGCCGTCTGAATTTTCCAACTTTTTGAGTTCTATACCTGAGCACAGCTACAATGTAAAAGAAATTGACAACTACGGTTTTGTAGAGCGGGATGAGTACTTTCAGATAGTTGAGCGGTTTTTCGGATGATACCTGTACTGGTTGAATTTATACGCTCAAAAAAAACGCTACGATATTATGCTGCAACCCAATAGATGAGCTTATAAATGTTGGGCTGTGGGGAAGAGTTCACTTGTCTTCCTCTTCTGTGCTACACAGTTGATTGAAATTCGATAGTATGAGCCTTCCGGCAAATAATCGTCACTCAGTGATGATAATTTTGCAGCATTACGTGCCGTTGTCGCGAAAATGCGCGACAGTGGCGCTAAAGCCTTACAAACAGATCTGATGGCGACTAACGTGAACTTATGGTACCCCGCGCACATCCCGTGATACGTAGCGATTACAACGTAGCGGCTAGTTTGAAACGTGCGGGTTAGTCGAGCCATGAAACAAGCAGCGTCCGGAGGCGCTCCTCTACCATTTCATGAAGTAATCAAGTTCAGACAACTCTCGTCCGGCGCACCCCTCCACCATTTCAAGAGAAAGACGGAATTCCTGTGAATGACTTCATCAGCGGTTTCTTTGGTTCTTTTTTCATTTTCGGTCCGTTCGGCATCCAAAAATTCATTATCGACCGCCGTCACCCCACCATTTTGATCTAGGTTTGTAACTTTAAAGTGCAGGAGACGATGTATGAAATTTTCAAGGGGTGTTTTCTATTGTGTAGGAACCAGCCTTCTGAGGAAGTCCGCATGCCATTTCATGTTCCAGAATTTGACACCCTTGACGTCTGATTGGATCCTACGAATGCTCCAACTCGTACGACGATACTCGAACGAATCTCAAGCGCCTGAGCGGAGGAGTAAGGTGCTGTCCAGTTTTTCTTCCTAGGTTTTTTCCTGATCCAGTCGACCTCTTCTTGGAGGCGATTCGTATGTAATGAAGTCGAGCACCGTTTCCGCGAAACAATGTCAAATGTTTTCTCATGTTTCTTCAAGAGAAATTGAATTAATTTGACACAGTGCATTAAGAACAAGATTTCGGCCTACTGAATCCGTCGAAGTCTCAAAGCACATGAGAAGACTTACAAGGGAAGGATCCCAGGTCGAAGTGGCCATTCGTAATGAAACCTATACTCACATACGTGTTTTCGGACGCTGATTTCAAATCCGTCCTCCAAATTTGCGGAACGATTCTCTGAACAGAGTTACAAAGGTTTCAAATGAATGGCCGTTAGAAGAGACACCCTCAGCCTACTGCCGGCAGCGGCGGCCTGGCTGAGTGGTAGTGGGAGGGCGGCGGTTGGGAGACGGCCACGGCGGCACGGGCGGGGGGGCGGCTCGCGGGGCGGGGGGTAGGCAGCGGCGGCCTGGCAGAGTGGTAGTGGGGGCGCATGATGGTGGTGAGACTATGGTTCGGATCCTGGTCATGATGAAGTTTTTGCATTTTGTAATTTTGCTTGTTTTCAAGCTGAAAGACCATTCAGTGTTGAAATTACGCCATGTACAACGCTGTCAAGTGTTTGCAACGTGTTCTGTTGTTGGTATCTTTGCCGTTTATAGATTGGTCTCTGTCACTGACAATGACGTCACTTTCTGTGACGTGGCAGTACCCCATACCCTACCCTGTACAATAATTGATCGAAAACTTCATAAAGAAATTAGGTCGTACTTGAAAGGAGCATGCAAACACGTTGCAAACACTTGAAAGCGTTGTCCATGGCGTAATTTCAACACTGAATGGTCTTTCAGCTTGAAAACAAGCAAAATTACAAAATGCAAAACTTCATCATGACCAGGATCCGAACCATAGTCTCACCACCAATCATGCGCCCACTACCCACTCAGCTGCGTGACGACATTGGGTGAGGTGTGTCTCTTCTAACAGCCATTCATTTGAAACCTTTGTAACTCTGTTCAGAGAATCGTTCCGCAAATTTGGAGGACGGATTTGAAATCAGCGTCCGAAAACACGTATGTGAGTATAGGTTTCATTACGAATGGCCACTTCGACCTGGGATCCTTCCCTTGTTAGTTGAGGAGTTGTAACATTCGAAACCCATACCATCTTTCGTATAAATAATTACTTGTTGTAAGTATAGTGTCCACTATTCCTCATGTTATTGCGCTCGTACTGCATGATATTGGAGGGAAGATGGGGGTGAAAGGGAAAGTGGAACCACCAGCAACGGTTCAGTATTGAGTGCATAAGCGTGATGTCATGATCAGAATAAGATCTTCTGCCATAAAAGACACTTTTTTTGTGCACACGCATCTCCTTCACAGGGCGTGAATCTCACATGGTGGAGAGCAAAAAAACATACCTCACGAATGGGAACTTCTTTCAACAGGAAAACTGTGGATTGGTAGTCGCTCACGCGGGTCGTAGTACCACTTTTCAGTGGCTGCGTTAATGCCTTAAGGTGGTCACTTATGATTATGCCAAGGTCTGTTTACATATTTAGATATCAGATGTTTAATAGTGTAGCTCAGCAGAATGATCAATTATTAATGATGTTTCTTACCCAAAAACTGAGGTCGTCACCAAAATGCGAAATTTTAGGCGATGTCGGAATTGCATGCTTTCTATACCAAATATCGTGCACTTTACGAACACGAGCTGGTAACGCAATTGATGATACCTGTATTGCAGGAGACTGAAAATGAGTCCAGCTCTCGAATTCAGGTGTGTTCGGATACTACTCGTTTGTCCAGCTACGTCTGGGGTCGTGTACAGTAGTGTACCTTGCCGGGGATGGGTCCTCAAAACTCTGCATCTCGAGACGCATCTCTTCCCTAATTCTTAACCATGTAAACTGCGTCATCGACCGTAGTAGAGACGCAGAGTTTTGGGAACCCCCCCCCCCCCGGTCGGGTTCTACTGCACACTGCCAGTGGGAGGATATTTTTGGGACCTTGCATCATTCCACGTTTTTTTTTTCACTTGTCATCAAGTGTGCTGCAACATCACGGTAACAAGTCAAAAGTATACAAAAACCAATTGATGCTCTGAGGATGGGGCAAAAGAGCACGCTCTTAATCTTAAATACTGAAAACAGAAAAACATTGGGCAAAGTCGCTAGTCGCTCATACAGGATATCTTTCAAGGTGTTCAAGCCATCATATGAATTATGCACATTTTCAGCTCTTTAAGGCTTCAATATTTAAGGGTATTAAGGTCTGTAGATGGCGGAGTCCGCTGGTTTGACTTGGTAAAATTTGGGAACATCTGCTTGTACCATGTCTGCGCGGGATTTTGTTTGAGGGTTGGAGTTACTGAAATCACCACTTATTGTTAGAATTTTCAGTGTATTTGGGCTCAGGGTAGGACGTCAAATATGTTACTCATTTCTGGTTTGCGGCGGGCTTATAGACCATTTGATCAATGGAACATTCAACATTGAAAATTTATCTGTTTATGGACAAGAACCTCCTGGGACCACTGCCACGGGATCAGTAAACTATCGTTTTGGAGCTTTACTTTGTAAGCATTGGAAAGAAAAATGATAATGTAGCTTGTGGAGTGCTCAAAATTACTGCGCTTCGTAGCCTTGGCTAAACTAATGCGAAGCCGCTCGCGCACCTCTTGGTGTTGACATTTGTAGTGACAAAAGTACTTCCGCTCCATTGAAAATCGTAGCTTGCCAGCTCAGCCCTCAGCCTTCTCCTGCTTGATTTCGCTGGGTGAGAGCAAACTTCCTGGATTCATGGGACGTTTATGAATTTCTATCGCTGGGAAGACTTTACGGTGAAGTGAAACAAATGGTGGAACTACAACTTTGACTTTCTATTATGCTAACCAACACATTATATAAACAAATGCAAGAAATATGAAAGGTCGGAAACCTTTCCATAAAAAGAAACATCTCGCTTGCAGCTTGTTACCGCCATTTTGCCGCCCCTGATATTTGTATGGTTGAGTCATAAATAATGTCTACTTTCTTTCAAACCTTTGCCGTTCCTAACAAGTTTGCTTTGTGACATGTTGTGTAGAGGCCTTCACGTTCCTTCATATCACGAAACGAAACCATCTCAACACACCTCTAAAGAGCACTGAGACGTCTTTTCCGAAGCATGTTCACAACTGTTCCGAGCTATAGAGAATTTTCACAGCATGTGGTAGCACACTGAACACGGAGTAAGGGCGAACATGAGTGAGTGTGTGCCAAGACTTGCTCTCCATAGATCGACGAAGCTGTTGGCAAAGAGTCACCGGATATGAAGAGGACGTATCGGTGCCTGACAAATACAGGGTCTTCACTGGATAGACATGGCTCGAGCCAAAGCGAGTTCCCAAAGGTGACCGTTCCCCGGAGAAGGTACTGCTCATCTTTCCTCCATGCTTCCCTACAGACCCTCACACTGCTAGCTACACATCTGTTGCTTCAGCTGCAGATGGTGATGATGCAGATGATGGCAAACATCTTACATACCTCTGGTCTTTCGTTGGGTCCAAGATTGTACAACTCTGAGGGGGACGGCTAGCTTGCATACCCGTACGTGGAAGGTGTTTGAAGGCAGCTGTGGTAATTTTAGCAATGAATAACCCTTACCTACCCCTTTTGAGGTCAGTTACCAAGTTTATAAGAGTTGAAAACGTTACTTATGACTCAATCTAACAACGGTGCAGTATGAGACTATCGTTTCAGTTATGTTGTTACATTTCTGCCAAGAGATAATAGGTGGAAGTGCATCAGGCGCAAATAGCGTTACTTTGCTGTATTCATAGAGCAGTAATATTGCGGGTAGATGTTTCCTTTGATTATGGAATCAAATCGCAATATTGCATAAATGGCAAGAGATTATTGGTTATGGAGACGCATGACAACCAGAATGAGTGTGAGTGTGTTCATTTAAAGGAAGCGATTACATCGGGGAGTATATGCGTCACAAAAGCAGTTACTTGGCTGCCAAGGAAGCGAAGTGTGGCGCTTTCACGACGAAAGGTGCCTGGTTGCTGAGCAGGACTTCCGAAGCACTCCGCCCCAAAAGCGTTACGCCCACTAGTTCAGTTGATGACTTGGGCGAGCTGTTTGCTGTTGGCTTTTCATTTTGGAGATCATTTCCCTTTCAGGTTGTATCTTCCAAGTTGCCTGTGTGATGCGTTATCAATCCAAGCGTGATGTTTGTTGGCATGTCGGCTATCGGGGTTAACACGTCCGAAAAACTTCGTTCTTTGTCGAGGCTCATTCATGGCGAAAATGAACGAAGCAATTCAAGAGGGTACTATTTTGCCTCATATTGACGGATTTCTCTTGCTTTTTTTTTCGCCAATGGCGTACCATTGAGACCTCTCGCCTCTAAACCCTCCGAATTCTACGATTTCACTGCCTTTAAAGGAATCTTGCGCGGAAAAATCATGATTCTATTTCAGCCATAAATCACTGGCTTGAGACTCATTATCCACGATAATAGTGAAAAGAACTGAAGTATTGCTTTCGTTTTGATTAGAAATTCGAAAACTCGAAAAGGCTGCTACGCGTTCGAATTGCCCACGGACGTCTTTCACGAATGCTGGCGACGGGGATGCTCAAACTTGGTTCTTGGAGTGCATTCACTAGAAGCTCTTTCTGGCCTTCTGCTTCGTTGCATTCACATCTTACACTTCTACTCCATCCTATTCCATCGATCGATTTGTCTCCACTCTCCGAAATCGCGCGCTTTAACCCGATTCTCTCATTGCGTCGCCTGGTACGTAGCCGGCCAAACGCCGTCTTCTTTCCATGCCTCGCCTGGCTCTGCCTCCTGGTCCTTCGATGGTCCATAACGTGTAGTTTTTGTACGTTTTTTCTCTTCAGAAACCGAATCTTCATGCGTGAAACTTTGTGTGCTATTTCCAGTGATCACAACTGACATATTCATGTTAGGAAAGAGTGCAAGAATTTTCCGCGCAAGATTCCTTTAATGATAGGTTTATTACAGTCGATTTCCAAGAGTTGTGGTAGGCGTGTAAACGGTAATGACGTGGCCATCGCAGCACTCGATAAAAGCCGTGTGAATGAGCTTAAAACATACATCGCTGCATATGAGCCTCTCGGATATCGACCGTACGACAGCAGAAGGCAAAACTTGAGAAATCAGCAACACCGTGATTTGAATTACCAAACAAAAACCTGTACACAACCAAACGAAATAATTCAAATTATAAAGTAGCTACCGATCAGTCTCCGAAAATGTTAGGACCTGCAAGCAGCAATTAACACTTCGGAATTGCGCAGGCGTGAAGGTGACGGGTATTTATTCAAGTAACTTCAAATAGTCGCTACCGGGCCTAAAGGTGAAGCTTCTTGCCGGCAATTAGTTTTAGGACGTGTCAAAAGATCTTCATGGGGCTTCCCTAGATCTCGACGATGTCAACTTGAATACATATCTCGACATTTATGCTGATCTCTTGCCGTTTACGCAACGTTGACAGTGGGCTCCATAATCAACGAATCTGCTTGTCCACAGTATTGTAGTTGCATGAGAGCAAAGCAATGTCATTCGCTGGTATGTACTGATTGAATTTCTAGCGCTCCGCTACAGTTTGTGGTGGAAACTAGGTGAGCATATCATATGAGTTCCTTACGTTCCTGACAAGACGTCAGAAACGCGAATGGGACAGTATGTTCTCCCCAAGCTTAGAGCCATGTTTGCGCCTCTGGAAATGAATGAGCAGTTTAAACTTGGGCCGGAATAAATTTATTCACCTACCAATCTTGCGCAGAAGTATGACAGCACAAGCAGTCAAAAATGCCGAGGTTTCATGAAATCTGGAGTCTATCATTTTAGTATCTAATGCTCAACATATTGTTCGATGTTGCAAAGACAGTGTCACTACGAGATGACGCGAGGCTTTTCGAATCTGTGATGAGCATAGTACGGCAGCTTTTTGTGGCTTCGATTTTACGAACCACTGCCGAGACGGCCATAGAAGACGAGGATGACGCTGAGACCACTGCGGGTACATCTCGTCTACCACCACGAGTGTCAACATCACGGACTGGGTGTAAGTCTGTACATGTTCACATGAAATGTTACCGCCGTGGCTGCTCCTATAGGCATACATTTTGGTTGTATTGCTAAAAAATAAGCTAAAAGTCTGAGCAGTCGCGTCTCGAAGTGATCCTAAAAAGAGCGCCATCTAGATCTACGTGGCTTGCTGTGCATTTGTCCGAGAAGTGAGGACGCGCTTGCGTTGGTGCACAAACTTACAGTGGTGGGGTAAGGGGGTGAAGGAGGGAGGATGCCATTTTTCGGGTCTGGGCATCGATCATCTTCATCTCACTTCGATGTGTTTCGTATACTGCAACCAATACAGATGGAAGTGGACGTGATTGTGCAAGCATTGAAGGAAGGCGCAAACCAAGGGTTGAAAGCACTGCAAGGGAACCTCCTGTATTCCCGCCAATTACCATAGCGCTCCTCTGCTTATGGCATTGAGTTAAGGCTATTTTTCACGTGAGAAATGGTGCGCATTGTAATGGCCACTGGGATGTGGAAAAAATGGCTCGTTGTGGTTCCCGGGTCTATGCGTCAAGGATGAAACGGTTGCTTTGAAGCTGTGAAGTAGTCGCCCAGAGTATAGGAGAACTGCTTTCTGAGAGATGGTCATCATTAAACCTGAATACGCTTGGAGCTATGGTTGAAGCTAGAGGCCTGCTTCCTGAATGCAGGTCACAATTTCATATAACCACTTTTCAGCGCTCAGCTTCGAT